AAAATGACTCAGTAAAAAAAGCTATGCTTTCCTGACAGGGAGATTTGAGGGGGTGGAGGAGAGAGGCAGAAGGAATTAAACATTCGAGAACATTCTGCAGGAACAAATGCTAGAGTGAGTCCAAATTATCCTGGGATATTTTTTTCATTCTGATAAATCTCTATTTATATTTCTTGGAGAGAAATAGTACATTTGACCACTTCATTTCTACACGTGACACAAAACAATAAGAGCAACCAGCCTGCTAAGAATGCAAAGCCAGATGGCATATATGTGTGTCATGCTGAGTTGATGCTTTGGAGATGCCAGCTCTGTAGAGTGACTGGAGCCAAATAATGCTTCACTGTAATCTGACTTACAATTCACGTGTGCGCCTCTGTATAACTTTTACATTTTTAAGTTATTTTAATGAATATTCAGTTGCAATGGACAACATGACACAGGCAATAGTAAAACACAAATAAAATGTCTCTCATGTGATTCGTTAGGTGTCAGCTCAAATCAAATTCTAATAAAGTGGCAGAAATCTAAAGACGTTTAACAGTATTGATTAACTGCTTCCTAAGTGAGCCAATAACCAAAAGTCAGTTCATGTGTCTCCCCAGGGAATGGTAAACTGTTCCATAACTTTTAGGCATTATCTTTTGAAGATTAGTCAGTGTGAGTTTGGAAAAAAAAAACAATTAATAAAAAAAACCACGATCCCCTCTCTGTCTCCTGATGCTGGGAAATGAGGAGAAAATCACTTTGTGGGGCCTCTGTTCCTGGACCCTCACATACTCACTGTGAGGACGTATTTCCTCAGCAGTTCAGGGGAGATGGGGTTGTCCTGTGGTCACACAGGGAACAGGTAGTAGAGAGACCTACAGAAAGTGACTGGATAGCCACCAGGTAATAGTGAGGGGACTGCTGTGGTAGGCGACACCATTGGATAAGAAGATGAATGTAGAAAAGTATCAGACTTCATAGTACCATTAATCTTATGACTGGCAAAATGTTTAGACTATTGCATTTATAGTTGCAGAAACTCTTTTGTTTTTCCATTCTAGAATATGAGGTCTCATTTTTACATTATAAGATCCCCTCCTTTCCTTTTAAATCTTCAGAAAATCATCAGTGAATCAGTGAATCATTTATTTAACAAACCCTTACTGGGTAACATAGCCCCTTGTTAAATCTGGTTTTGATTCCTGCACTTGGAAGCTCAGCTATTAGGCACATGCACATTTAAGGTCATCATGCCTTCATAATGAATTGGCCCTTGCTGGATATTGTACTGTTGAACATTGTTGAACGTCTAGATTATGTTGTCTTCCTTTAAAGAGCGTAGAGTTTTATGTTTTCAGGCGTTTGAGTTACCTGTAGATCAGCTTGATCTTTTTGAGGCTTGTTTTTAAGTGTGGTTGGAATGGATATAGACAAGCTTTTATTCCAAAGCTATTTTAGCACCACATTTAGGCATGACAATTCTTAGGTCTCCACTGAATGCCTGTTGTAGTTAACAAGGCCTCTCTGTTTGGTCAGAACATAAATACCTCTCCATCCTAAGTGAGCTCTGAGAATTGTTTAACCTACAGCTTGTGGTAGATAGGATTCTAAAATGACCCTCAGTGATACTCACCCTTGTATAATCCCCTCCCACTGGGTTTTCGAAGATCCTGTGAATATGATCACTCCTGCAATAACATTATTTTATGACACACACACAAAAAATTATCCAAGGTCGGCCTGACTTCATCAAGTGAGCCCTTTAAAAAAAGAGATTTCTTACTCATGTCTTGTTAGGGAGACCACGTCATAGACGGTGAAGAGACCTGACCACTGCACTGTACATCTGAAGCTGATGTTGAATAATAATGTATGTCAACTATAATTATATATACATATAGTCACGGGATGTGGAGTAGAGAGTGGGAACGGATTCAATGGAATTGTAATAGATAAGCATGATATCGGGGGTGGGGGTAGAGAAGAGGGGAGAGGGGTTGTCACTTTGTGAGGGGTGAAAAGCATAACTATTGGGTTGTTTTGTATACCTGACACTAATAGTAAAAAAAATAAAAAATAAAAAAATAAAAATAAATAAATAAAAAGATTTCTCTGGCTGATTGCAGAGGGAAAAGTCCAATATATGAAAAGGTATATTTATACATTTAGTCCAAATGCTAGTTGTTTATTGTGGGAAGGCAAATCTGGTACTAGTTACTTGGTTATGGAATTTTAACATTCACTTAATTTACTTAATTTGTAGCTCACTAAATCCTGCTACTATTCATCAGTCTTTAAATGTAGGAGAAACTGAGTTGGAAGGAAAGGAATTGAAAGAGACTAGCCAATTATATCCCAAAAGTATAAAAACCACTCTTTTTTACCTTTTAATTTTATATGGAAATATTAATATTTCATAATAATGAATTATATAGAGAATACTATAATACACTTCTATATACCCCATAATCAACTTAAGAAATAAAATAGTATCAATACAGTTGAAGCCTTTATGTCCTTCTCCCAATCTTATCCTCCTTGTAGACATTTCTAAACTCAGTGTTATTAATTCCCATGCATTTCTTTATATTGTACTTCATATAATCCTTGAAATTATCTTTGCATTTTTTGAAATTTATTTTAATTTTGAAATGTAGCTTTTTTTCTGGTTTCCTTTTTTGTTTAATGTTTTGTGGTGAAAATGAAAAAATGATATGTGCTTGGAATTCCGTTGTATGAATTTAGCACAATTTATCCAGTCACCTATTAAGAGACATTTAGATTGTTTCAACTTCTTTTGAAGCAGTAAATACTGAAATATATTTTCATATAGATATGACTAATATACATATATATATATATATATATATATATATATACACACACACACACACACACACACACATATATATGTATATATATGAGAGTTTCTTTAGGGAATACCATTCATTGTGAAGTCAGTAGATAATAGAGTATATGCATCTTTAAATTGCTAGATACTGCCAATTTTTCCCCAAAGTGGTTGTCGTAATTGGCATTCCCACCATAAGGTTTCTGGTTGTTCTAGATCCTTATAACCCTTGGTATTTTCAGAATTAAATTGTAAATAATTATATGAGTGAGAAAATGCAATCTCAGTGTGATCTAGAGTTGCATTTCCCTGGTTATTGATCAAGTAGGACACCTTTTAATATGCTCACTGGCTATATTCACATGGATATTATTATTACCCAGTGCAGCTGCTCCAATTTCTTAAACCATGCTAGGGTTAACATAAAGATCTAATATCTAACTTCATAAGTTATGCTATGAAAATGTTCCCAAGTATGAAATTATTCCCTGAGTCATTTAAATTATTTCTGGTCATCACAACATGATTCTTGCCAACACTTCAATTGCGTCACGTTCAGTTTTAGCAGTCTTAGTTTCTTCTACTCTGGTTTTGTTTTGTTTGGGTTCTAGAAAGAACAGCAATAAACTAAGTCATTGAAGCTGAAAGGTAGGCTAAGGTATGGGGAAGAATATAACATTACTCAGACGAAGATAGACTAATAATAGGATATGGTGGGCTCCAAAGAGTCCAGTGTACCGTAGTAAAATACAGCAGGATTTTTTGTTTATTTGACTAAGCCTGATGATGCAGTCTATTATGGGGAATTGTCAAATGTGCCTTCGGTAAGAGTTTGAACAGATAATAAACAACCCTAGTGTGCCAGTGCTACACTAAGGGATAGAACCAGGTAGTTCTGAGGGTCCTTCTTCCCTTCGTTCTGTGACTCAGTGAGGCACGCATCCACAGAGCTGTCACAGATTCTTTCCACTGCCAACATGGACATTTACCACACACACACACACACCAGGTTGGACAATTAAGTTTGCAAACTTCCACCATGTAAGCGCACAGTGGAAATATATATATATATATTTATATATATATATAAATATATATATATACATATATATGTATATGTATGTATGTTTTCTAAACAGGTAATGAGTAAAAGTGTATCTTTTACAAGTAAATACATCATCAGTAAATTACTTAGTCACTTCCGGGAGAAGCAGCCAGAATAATTCCCCTGAATCTCTTCCTGGTGCTAAATGGGCATAATTTTGAGCCCAGGGAATACATTTTCTGCCCTTTCCATAGTTTGATCATTTGCCCAGCTGTGTTCCAGTACACTGCCAGCCTCCACTCGTAGCTCTGGATCCTCAGTCCTTTTACCTCCACTTGAGGAATTTCACAAATAGTTGGGCTGTAGCATTGCAGTGTTCCCTCTCTGTGATGTTCCAAGTCCAAGTACATCATAGCTAATGTAAGTATTAATAATTCAATTTGTAATTGATTTGGGAATGTACAGTGATCACTTTTTTTTGGGAAAATGGTGTATCTAAGTTTACATTGCTTTGTAAAGATTTTATTTCATAAAAACTGAAAACCGAGAAGGAGATCATTTAATTCAAGTCTGACTAGAAATTTGCTCCATCAGTCTCAACTGTTGCCTGCAGTTGATTTCTCTATGACTCAAGGACTAGAAGCTTTCTACCACTTCCTATGGTGAAAATGTTAAACCTAACAGAATAAACCACAGGAAGGTTTCTTCACAGTCAGACTAAATTGTCTCATTTATTATTCAGACTATCCTGGTCCGTTGCTTTGCACTTCTTAGATGTTTGTTAAACCCCACTAGTCAATATAAATAGACCACAGATGTGATTTTTAAAAAAGTAATGGACTTGTCATTTTGATCATTGATATTACTTTCTGTTGGACCGTGTATATGTATGCATGTTTTATGTTTGTCCTTAGGTGAGCAAAAGTGGAAGTAATGTTTTGAAGATGAATTTTCTCACCTATCTTTCCTTTTTTTTTTAATGTGTAGGTCCAGCTTTTTAAATGTGTTTCCGATCCTCTCTTAGGTGTGAGTTGCAAACATGCAGCTTGCTGGCTGTTGTACAGCTTGGGTCTCCTCAGATCTCATTGACTAATACCAGCCATTGTCTCCCTCCAGGTCATCCAGGCTGTCTTTTTTGGCATCTGTGTGTTGACTGATCTTTCCAGTCTTCTGACGAGAGGAAGTGGCAACCAGGAACAAGAGAGGCAGCTCAAGAAGCTCATCTCTCTCCGGGACTGGATGTTGGCTGTGTTGGCCTTTCCTGTTGGGGTTGTGAGTATGATGTAGAATGCATTTCACTACAGAAGAGACATAGGTCTTATTTCAGACTTCTAAGAGAAAACAAAAAAAGCTCTTCATAGATGGCTTTGATATTAGTTTGCTCTGAGTGCCATTACAAAGCACCACAGACTGGGTGGCTTAAACAACAGACATTTATTTTCTCACCGTTCTGGAGGCTGGAAGTCTGAGATCAAAGTGTTGGCAGTGTTGGTGGATTCTTCCAAGGCCTGTCTCCTTGGCTTGTAAGTGGACTCCTTCTCCATGTTATTTTTATATACTCTTTGCTCTGTGTCTATCCATGTCCTAATCTCCTCTTCTTATAAGGACACGTATTAGACACATAGAGGGCCCCTCAATGACCTTATTTAACCTTCATTGCCTCTTTAAGGCCCTACCTCCAAATAAAGTCTGAGGTATTAGGGGTTAGGAATTCAACATATGAATTTTGGGGGGCACTCAATTCAACCCATAACAGTTTCGTAAGCACCCCAAACTTGAAATGTATGGTCCTTGGGTCTATGACCATTCTAGTATTTTTTAACTTGAGAGAGATGAAATCAGCATTCACTCATACGTCTTCACTTGCTCAACTGTGCCATTAGCCAACATCACTTAAGTAAATGTTGCTCAATGTTTGGGTCTGTTCTGGCTTCACTGATTTTCATTGTTTTTTGTGAGAGTCCCTCCATAGCTTAACTTCCTTCACAAATCTGTTAGTCATCCATTGTCTATATATAAACCATGTTTCTTTAAAGGGCCAGGGCCCCATGAGAGCCACATAGATTTTTTAAACCTGCATATGGCCAGAAGAAGAATGAGAGAACTCCTAAATCTCAAATTGTGAGTGCAAATAAGAGTGTGTTACCTAATTCAAATTCAGACCTTTCATTTGCCAGCGAATTTCTGGGAAAAACAGAAGTGACCTGGGCTAGCATATGTACCAAATCCAAGGTCCATTGTAGGAAGAGTCTGAAAATTATTTTTTAAATCCTTCCAGTAGCTCTTATTTATATTTTCCGGATCTATAGCTGGCAGAAGCCACTACATGCTTGTTATAAGACCAATAAGTAAGCTCCCAGAATATCAGTGAATTGCTTTTTTATGTATTGAGGTGCATGAGTGTGTTCTTGGATGAAATAGCCCTTAGGGGTGTATTATAATCTGGTCACACTCCTTTTCTCATTCCCTCATCTTTATCCCCTGAAAACCTAAATGAGTGCTCAGATTGAAGCTATCTAGTGAATCTCTCAAATTCTAGTGCTTAACATAACCAACTTAACTGCTTCAAGTATTATTTAATATTTCCTTCTTTGGACTTGCCTGATAAAATTCACATGCTTTCTATCAAAATAGTCACCTAAGAGAAAATTTCCAGGGGCAATAAGCTATAAAGACATATACTTACAGCATAAGGGATTTTTATCTAGAAAATCCAAGTCTACATCTTTTTTGTTTCTTTTTATCCCTTACTCCCTTGGACCTTCTGTAGACATGGCATTGCCTCTGGAGGTCTTCCTTGGCGAGGAGGAATACCGTAGTAACACAATACAAAAGTAAATAGAAATACAATATTAACGTTTTCTGTTAGCGCTGCCTCTCCTTCTGTTATGTGATGTCACACTGTGTCTCTAGAGCTTAAATTGTGCGTCTTGCCACTCTCATCAAAGGCTCACTGCATATGCCCTTGAGACATTTTTGACATTACTTTGGCCAGAAACTTTTTGTACCTGCTTGAGACTTGAGGTATCTGTCAGCTTTCAATGTCCTTTCTGCCTTCGGTCCATGTACGCATGCTTCATGATTTGTAAAAAGAATAGGGGGCTTTTTGTTTGATTACATCTGATGCTTTCCTCCACATTTCACTATTTTTCTTGTTTTCTCTATGTTTTAAAAGAGGGAAGAGAAGCAATAATACCGTTAATTCCCTCTCCCCTTTTTTAACCAGAAGTCATAACATTTTCATTATATATGTATGCACCTTCCCTAGCTGATGAGCTTCAAAAAACATATACAGACGAAATAATGAATCAGAGAGGTGCAGCTTCACTAATTTCTTTAACTCATATTTTTTTCTTGCCCACTGATGTTTTATAGTCAATATTTACATTTTCATAATCTTTCCTGTTATTATGAGTCACTTTCTGTTTTATAGTCACTAGTCTTAAGTTCCTGTTACGTTCCCCTCCTCGCCTCCTCCCCCATGTCATGTGCTCCTGTTTTCTCTCTCTCTCTCCCTCCTTCCCTCCCTACTTCTCTCCCCATTAATATTAAGAAGAATCCTTCCCAGTATCCTCCAGAAGTCTCCTTATGTTTTCCACTGTTTCTCTCTTACTCTTTCATTTGACTTTTTGTACCTATTTATCCAATTTCTACCTGATTTCTCACTCTAATACACAAAAATTCATTTTAAAGCAAAAAACTGATAAATGGCTTCTTCCCAGATGTAAAGTCATATTTACAGAGGATATGAATTTGGCTCTTTATAAGCATTTTAACCTGTTAAATAACAAACGTTTAACTGAGTGATTTTAGGGATCAGATTGGCTTTATTTAGTGAGTCATGAGTTGGGCAGACTCCCATCTAGCAAACAGAAAGGAGCTCCACTGAGCTGCAGAAAAGGAAAGGTTTTTTAAAAGCGGGAAGGGAGTGGGAAAAGGAAATTATTAGGAAAGAATGTGCGTTTCAGCCCTCCTAAGGGGAGTGAAGGGGGCCCATGGGCTGGATTACCTCACTAGTGCTGACCAGGTAATTCCATGTTGACCAGTTAAAAGTTACATTCCTGGGAAGCTGAAGCTGTAGTTAGCTTAAGTATTAAATCTTGGTTCACTGACAATGGACCTAGCACAAGTGACTCCATTTTGGGGCCTGTTGTCCTTATTTTAACAAGCCCAAAATATTTTTTTTAATCAACACACATAATTTTATGATTTTTCTTTTTTGGCATTTCTTTTCCCAGGGTTATTTCCCGCTTCCCTTTCCCTGTGCCCTTGTCTTTGCTGTGACCTCAGAGCTCTCCCCTGCCCCTTCTGTAGCTCCCCCCATAATCCCCCAGCTGCTCAGTGGGGTCTGGAATTCCACTATTCTACCTTTCTCACGTAAGGCTTTCTTCCTTATTAAAATGTGAGCCCTTCCTGGAGCAGTGCCACTGGGAGTCACCTGGAGAGGCCTCATCTTGACTCTTCTTATGGTGCCTGGCCTACAGTGAGGTGCCCAGCCTGAAGGGTTTATTACATGAGGAAGATGGGAACAGCACTGATGCCCAGGACCTGGCAGACATAGCTATACCTGTAGGAACCCTTAGTGTAAGAAGGTTCACCATATAAGCAAATGATTCATTACAACATTTGTGACTAAGCACCTTTTTCCATGTTGGTTGACACAGTCAGAATCCTAGAGCTCATGTTCAGACCCTCCTCGTGTGCCCAGAGAACCCCGGGCATGGCTCTCGCTACCTAAGGAGGAAGGCGCACAGCCTCTGTGAAACCTGCCTGTGGTCCCTCCAGGCCTCCTGGCGCCAACTGCCAGGTGGCTGCCAACCTCTCAGAGTGCCTCCTCTGCCCTGAGCCTTTTGTTTGTCAGCCAGAAGTTTGCAGAGAAAGCAATATTATTTTTGCTTCCTGGTGCAGGGTAAAAAGGCAACAGGCATAAATAGAAGGCAGACTGGCAGCTGAATTTATCACCTTTGCTCAACTCTCCCTGAAGAGCCCTCTTAACCCCGAGCTTTTCCTGATGCCCCCATTCTGTCTCTCTGTCTCTCTCTCACCTCAGCTGCAATGGTGGCAGCAAAAAAAGACACGGGTAGGTTATCTATTGTAGGATTTGTATTTTCTACACTAATGCTTCCTTCAATAACGAGGTTAATTGAGAGTTGACAGTAATTGCTTTATGCGGGCATGAAGCACTCAATATGATTTTGTGACCTGTGGACCTAACGTGTCTATTGCATGGACTCTCTCTAGCTCAAGGGTATATCAAAATAATGAAACATTCCAATCAAAGATAATTGGAGTAAAGTTTGGCTTCAGCATAACCTTGAAGTTGTTGCTTGAGTGAACGTAGCGTGTGTCATCCTGATTTGAGCAGATTCCCATAAATGCTAAGCTAGCCTTGGTTAGTAGCGCTAATGGCCGGAAACCAACACCACCCCCAAAGCCCTGCCACTCACTTTGCAGGCATAACCCATGGGAGGCTCTTCTTACCATGTGCAGTTTATTTCTGAACCCTGTCACCCTTTTAAAGCAGCATTATAACAATTCTGTGACATTATGTGGTCTGGAAGCACTGAAGCTTATTAGGAGCAATCAAACCAAGAATGTCTTTTGTCTTCTGTGAGTTTGTGGCCTTTTGCGCTGGCGGATACTCTTCTAGTTAAGAGAATAGGCTAAGGTTTCAACCAAAAAATAAACAATGAAGAAGAAGAGGAAGAGCAGAAAAAATAAATAAGTATGTTGAGTATGAAAATGCCCCTCTCAGAAATCCTCAGTGTGTCTCCAACTGCTATCCAAAGCAGCCCTTTTAATGACCAAAAAAACCAACCCCGCAGTCATGTGTTTTCCATTCATTCAAGTCTGTGTATCCCATTCGATTGCAGCTGCTCAGTCTGCATAATGAATGTAATCAAATGTCATCACCTCCCGAGTGTACCTTGGTCCTTCCTGGTAGTACCTTTAGTGTTACTTGGTTGCTCTAGACCAGATGCTGGGCTGCCACTAAACTAACCTTGGCCAGTCCTCAGGGTGAAGATGGATGATGTCCCTCCCTTAATAAAGAGGACGTGGGTCCAGGAAGGCCCTGGAAGTTTGGGTCTGTTCTTACCTGCAGTGAACATCCAGCATATAAGGAACAAACCATCATGTACCAAGATGAACTCTGAAATTTGGACTTCTTAGTAAACCATTTCTGGTGTCATAATCATGTTCTTAAAAACACTTAGTGATTATTTTATAGGCACCAACCTAGTCTAGAATCCTTTAAAACTTGTTTTTTTTCC